CATTTCACGATGAATTATCGGTTTCACGTACGGGAAACCTGTACCCCTCACTACGTCACTCACGTACCTAACCTAGCCGGAGCACCTAGACCGCGTCTGATACAAAGTAACTGTATGTATTCAGGGAATCAGAATGCCGCTTCACGGGCATCTGAAGTAATCATCTGGAAAATCTAGAGGATGATGGGTCCGGTGAGTGACGTTTATATCAAGACCGGATGTCAGCAGCATCACCTGGTGGTCGCGCCCATCTCGCGACAAAAAGGGGTAATGGAGCCAATGATGAGGAAATGTTTGTGCAGAAAGGGGTAATGGATACAGCAACCCCATTTTATTTGGAACTTGATGTTTCGATTCGTTCCTGCCACTAAACCTTTTTATTTTATTTTATCCCTTCTTTTCAGTATCGTTCGGAAGTAGGGTACACACCTTGTTATACAGGGCGTATATAATATTTTCCATGTAATGGAAATCTCACGGATCCATTCTAAAATTATCTACGTCGTTTTTACAGATTCGATCTCTATGAGACTGGCCTAAGTGCACCGATGGACCGGAGCACTTCCTCAACGGAAACTGTAAACTTCAAGATGAAAGGATTGGGGGAAAGTTTGGCGCCTGTGGAGATAGTAGATTTATTAGTTATCTTTAGACTAATTCTAAGTGAGCAGGTTGATGACTGTGAGAGAAAATTAGTGAAACACGTGATTATTATTTAGGCAGTCATTTGATTTATCGTATTTTTTTGGAGTTACTAGTTGTAAAAGAAAGGGTAGTCTTTCATTAGCCATAGGGTAGCAAGGTGACAGGACGTCAGTATAATATATTCTGGCTCAGTTTCACAACCGGTTCCTATAGTCACGTTCTATATACCATAGAGGATTATGAAATTTTGTCTAATAGTCTTCTTGTACTGGATAAGTTTTTATGCATGCTATAGTACATGCATATACAGTACAGAGAACTAGGAAGCTGATAAACATGGAATCTTCGACCGAGGCTTAATTTGGATATTCAAATGTAGTAAATGCGTGAACTCGTATCCCGCCCCCGTTAAATGCAAAACAACACATTGAATTTAGTCGGCACAGCTAGAAAACGCCATAAATCATGATAAATACGCACGTGTTCCCTCTCGTGTAGGACTAAACGAAAACTATTAACACCGTCAGAGGCGGCGAGTGCGAGGGCGCCTCATAAATATAGCCCAGTAGGGGTGTACGAGTCTTGGGGATGTTAATCTAGAATGATTTTGCATATCACATATGTCCGCATTCTGCACGCTCTGTCTGGTAACCCTATGAGGATAATTTAACAGACACAAAATTCTTGGCAGATTTATACAAGTCTGCGTATGCATATAGGTGGGCAAAGTGAAATTACTCCAGAACCTCGAGGAACAGCAATAACGAATTCCTGGCCTCTGTTAGATCCAACGGATCGTCCCGTAGGGCATGCGAGCTATTCTATTAACCCTTGGTAATAAAATAAAAGAAATACCCCTCGGTGGAGGGGCACATCTGTGCGGCGGGGGTTCGAGATGCCGAAGCCAGGGCAAAGGGCCAGGGGTTGTTTTATTAATTCACTCCCTTCGTGAAACTCTGGCCGAGTGCGCACCGACGTAGCAAAACGATAACCAAGGGCGAGTGGGTGGTCCCTACTATTTATTACCTAATTGGTCCCGAGCTCAATTGAAATAATACGGATCGATCGTGTTCACGACAGGTGCACCAGGCTAACTGAACAAAAAAGTACAGGCACTGAACACAAGTATATTTAGATTTAGAGTCTATATTCAATGATAATTAAAAAATTATTTCTACTACTATACCAGAACATTCCTAACCTATACTCGCTCCACGTGCTTAATGCGATGTATTGACAGATCGAAAAAAACGAACTCCAGCAAGCGTAGCTCTGCATACGATTTTCACTATGAAGCATGTACGATTTTTATATTTTAGTACACAGGGTTACTCACGACGAACACGCCACAAGGTTGTTCTACTAGTTCTAATCAAATGGACTATTTCAAGTGGTGCGCTTGTCAAGAATAATCCTGTATATTTCCGTGATTCTAAGGAAGATCACGTGTGATTTCTTTTGCATTGCACTGTCAAATAAAAATACCTTCATATCATTGATCAACTGTATCAAGTAGTGTTAATCTAGAAAAGGAATAAGTATTACCTAATTTGACACTGTTCGCCATTGATACCCGTATTATCATGATGCAGTCTCTTCTCTACTTTCACCCTTCAGCCTCGATCACTCCCTCACTTCAATATCGCTATCCTCCTCGTCGAACAAGTCCCTATAAGTGCACAGGCCGAAGCAAACCGGTAGAAGCTGCATTCAACGAAGGCGGTCATCTGTGAAACACATTTAGCTTGTTGGCACACAGAACGCGACGGGACGGCTACGACCCTCTCTCTCTCTCTCTCACACACACAATGCTAACGTATAAGAGTCTGTTTTCATATTCTCCATACTTATTTACCATAGAGCATCAAAGTTCACGGGGGTAACATTTAGGCGTGTGTACCAAACCCGTCACGCGAATAGCAAGTAGTTATTTATGCGTATCGATACTGCATTTTGTATAATACTGACACTCAACTGTCAAGGGACTAGTGTAGGAGAACAAGGACGAATGGAGACATATGTTCTCTGTTTCGCTAGGATGAATATTACTAAGTGAGCAATCATCGTGGCTCCTTTACCTTTAGAGTTCTTTGGTGTATCTAGCGAACCTATGTAAAACATTGTGTTTAGGTTAGATAACCTGAGTTTTCACAGGTCACATTTTGAAGGATATTTTTCTACGCCTGATGGAAACTCCATACGCAGTGCAGTTTACCTTCATAGCCAAACTGCATTTACCAGTAGGTATATACCTATAGGCATTGGACGATCTTCGTAATCCTCAACCTGTGGTGTATCATTAGGGGATTAAGGTACTACTCGCAACATCAAAGACCCTTGCCGTGATCGGCCTACGTATAAGGAGTGAGACAGCCTCAGGAACGTGGGAGAATTGACTAAGGTAATCTGCTAGGAATATATATATATATAGTCAATTTATGAAATAAATTTAAAATTAGGGGACTCTTTCGCATTTCATGTCATACAGAGATGGGCCCTCTAAAATATATTTTAGTAATAGATGACTATAGTATACATTTATATAGAAATGATTTTATCTTATATTTATCTAGAATAGAAATATTCTGTCAAAATATTCAAACATCCGTGAAACGGGAATAAGTATGTTCTTACTGTATTGTACCTGGAGAAATGTCATCTGTACAATAAATACTTATTATGTAGAATCAGGATATTCCGGTGAACGACATTTTTCCATCAGGTACGACGGGTATAATTTATTAGTCCCAGGAAGCGTGACTCTGCGCTCTCAGGGTTCCTATTATGCAAAATCGTGATTCTCCCCTAATTCACCTTAGACCTCCTCCCGGTGCCCACTCGAAAATCAGAGTTTTTTCCCCCAGGAAAGGTCCCGGGGGCAAGAGTCATCAATTACTATTGGAAATAAATCGAAGGCAGATGCGACGAGTGCCTACAGGGCTCGACGGGTGACCGATTCACTCTCTCACCCCTACGGATAATAACTGTTTCGACAAATACAAAACGATACACGCGGAGAACTCATGTGCGAATTTTGTTTCAGGAGAGAAAAGGGACAAGGCTTTTAATTCTCACTACGATTTCCTCACTTGGATTTCAATTTTAACAAATTTTTGTCGATAGAATAAATAATGCTGCTAACCAGGAACTACAAGGCAAGGATTACTACTTTGGCAAGGATTCAACAAGATTTATGAATCGCCACGAAAGACTTATTGAAATGACGATTTATTTGATTTAAGGAAATAAAATAATTGGTACAAGAAAGGAAACTGCCAAGAAACGATAACGATATCGTAATGGTTACAGGAAACAGCTCCGAGGTTACGCGCGATAATACGTCCGTCCAGGAAACCCGGCGAATGTGAGAAAACGAGTAGGGAGATCCAAGAGGCTCGAGTACCTCACAGGGCGATCTACATATATGTCGATCCTGAGTAAAAGATCGGTTGAACGATTTCGTGGGAAGATTGGATGGGCGTCCTTCTCCATCCCTTCTTAACCTCCACGTCTCGAGCCTCGTATGGTTTCTTATAAGAATTCCACGGTATCGGCTTACATCGACTCTGATGCCCGTGCTACAACCTAATTAGTACAATAAAATTACTTACAAGAGAACGTAAGGGGCTGGTACATATAGGTACGTCACGTTTATCCGCAAGTTATAAGAGGAACACGATAAATTTTCTTAACATGCTCCTATTGAAGTTTTTAGTTACAACTATATTTATACACAGACATAGACTATATCTGACACGGTAGATGTGCAAGTAATCTCAATCTACTGTATTTTTAATGTAGTTTATTTGATCGCAGAAACGCGTTTACGCAAGGGGATGCCGAATCTACGATTGATAGGGGTGCATGCTAATTTACTTGGATTTTGGAGGTTCCTCTACCGGCCCGTTATTCGTCAAAACAATCTCCCGTCGCGCTTTGCCATTCCACCCTTAGCAAACTGGGGGGTAGTAACAGCACGCGTATCCCCGGGCACGAAGAAATAGCCGTCGGATCGACGGGGCGTCGTTCTGGACGGGACGCTTGAAATTTTGGCTTTTACGCGTCTCACCATATTCTACGGTACATTTTTCTTATAAATATCTGACGAGTGATTAATGGCTGCTGGGCGAATGCTCCACTCGACCAGACATTCTTTCCTACAAGTTGTCAGCACTAGGTATGTCTTTATTGTGGATCCTTAGATAGAGATAAAAGAGTCTCTGAAAAATGTAGCGTTCTTACAGAATTGTAATAAAAAGTTGATATTTTTTTTTTAATAAACCCGAACAAAACCAATAAAAACGAGGGTACTTATTGCTAAGAAAAAGTTATCATTGGATAATAACAAACAGATATTTCTCGACGGAAATGATATTTAATCAATAAACTCTTTACAAATATGTACATGCAACAAAATACATCGGTTATATTATACAACTAAAAAACAGAGGGGATGCCCATTTCTTGCTACCAGATCATGTACTGACTCATGTAGTCGCTGCTCGGAATCGCGTGATTCGTCATGCGACGCATGACGCAACGAGAACGTGTAGCGTTACTTTACGTTCGGCACGTTCCCCGTAGTTTTATCACTATACCATACATAGTTATGTGTATCTTTCATCTCTTACATCTGTTTAACCGTGTCTTTAGTATGCCTCTTGTTTTAATATTTGTCGCGTACTTTATTTAGAATGTATGTCTGTCCTACGTGTAAAGTATAGCTAACGAACTCGCGCACTCTCGTAGTATAGCTAGAGAGAATTTTCTTTGGAATAACGCATGACAAAATTCAATACTCCAAGATAGATAATAGAATAAGAATTTATAAGGAAAGGACATAATCTATTATCTATGCAATAGACATCAAAATTGCATAATGTTAGCATAATCATTTATAGCAGTTAGACAGGTTTTGTATAATAGAAGGTTACGGTTTTTCCTTCAAATTAACAGATATAAATATTACCTTTTCTTGGTCTACATGATGAATGCTAATGATGACTTTTAAAAATTATCATTAGCACGTCATACTAGCATACTAGCATACTAGCATTTCACCATTATCATGTGTAATATTGCGAAAAATGATCGATACCATCATTTACGTACGGTAATCGCATATATTATAGGTTATTGTAAAGGAAGAACAAATTTTTCTTTTTCTTCGATCATCTTACAATAGAACTACGTATGCGCGATGATTTGTACGATTTTATAAACTCATTTTTCGTAAATGTGTCACGAGTGACAAAGAACAAATGTCGCGGAGCTTGTTTGAGAATTTAGAACCAGTTCTCAATTTCAAATTTTTATCTATCCCTATCGCGATAGAAGATGATGGAATCCACGATTTTTAATTTGTCAAACGGCTTCTCAATAAGCCCTAAGTCTAACCTCCAACTCGGGATCCTGGCGATGAGCCAAATGAGGCTCGACACCCGTACCACCAGCGGCCGTAACATGATGCGCGTGATGCCCATGATGATGATGATGATTCAGGTTAGGCGGCTGAACGGCCGCACTCCTATATGCTCTTTGTTTCTCCTCGAAGTCTCTTATTCTCTGATTATACCGTTCAATCTGATCTCGCAGGAGAGCGTCTTCCTGAGTGGCACGTTCTTCGTCGAATTCGAGACAGCCGAGGCCATCCAAACGCTCCAGGTCGATCCATCCTCTCCATCGGACACACACGCCGTTCATGATCAAGTGAGACCTCAGATGAACCTAAAATCAAGAAATAAAATAATTATAATAAAACGACGCACAACGTCAGCTTCCAGGGACTCGACGCAATTGCGTCTCCAGGAATTCCCTCCTACTTGGTGCCATTTAACGAACGAGACTCGAGGCTGCAGAAGAGTAAAGAGGTTAGGTTAGGTTAAGTTAGGATAGGTTAAATTAGGTGAGACTGCGAGTAGAAAAAGGACAGCCGATACAAGCCAGAAAGAGTCAACGTGCAATTTCCTCCCTCTACTACCTGAGCTCAAGAGTCCGGCTGGTGAGCCTTCCAATCTCTGTAATCGCTTGCTGCAAAGATAAAAAGACCAGGACAACGACGAGAATGCACAATGGCGTTGTAAGATTCCTGGAGGCAAATGAAAACCGCGAGCTATTACCATTTGATGAGGACTATTTTCGAAAACTCCATAAAATCGTGATTCTGGCTCTGGCCTTGGATTAATGGAGAAAAAAGGATACGTCTCATTCCGCAGGTAACAATACATTTACTTGCTTTTACAGAAATGTGCGTAGGAAGAAGATTTGAAAATGAGTAAGAAGTCTGAAGTCATCCTACGAAGTCTTAAGTTTTCCTTTGGACTACGTAGACCCTGTGATTCCATGTAGCTAGTCAAGACAAAAAAGGACCGACAAACTAAGAAAGAACCCGAGAACGTAGAGGTCAATTATCTTCGGCTCCTCTCGTTCCACTTAATGAGCCTATTTTATTTCCTGCAAATGGCCCTATTTCCGGTGTGAGAGAATGCCAACGGCTAATTGTCCAGGAGGATTCCGAAGTTATATCCAGGCGAACAATTGGTTCTTCTGGTTCTTTGCTGTTCCGATTTGTACTCCATAGGACTACTTATCAGCTTTTGTATGCGTCTATGAGTCGCCAATGCTTATTAAAACCTAGGATACCTCAAGGCAGTGCTGACGATTATTGTTATACATCAAAGCAGTCAGAAGACCTTCGGTTTTCCCAGCTACGCCTCAATACGCATCGAATGTACAATTTAGCCATATGAATACGTAGAAGGTAGTGCCTATACATGGCTCTCTCTCTCTCTCTCTCTCTCTCTCTCTCTCTCTCTCTCACACACACACACACTCTCTCTACCCGTTCAGTTTCTTTGTTCATAAATAATCTGCAAGAGTCGCCATAGATAATACATTGCGAAGAATCATCATAAAATGAAGCAGTGACTTTTAATGGAATAAATGTAAAATATAGTACAACAAATTTTAGACTTCCAGTAGCGATTACTAAGAATATTTGTAATACGGAAAACAGGAGATGCTTGATTATTAAATTGTGTATAACTATACTGCGAGACTGTGTATATTGTGTATGACTATACTGCGAGATTACCCCAATGATACCTATAGATGTCTACCAGTACAAAACAATACAATTTCTTAAGCGTTATCAAACGCTTCATTTTAAGTTCCAGATTACTATTTTTCATAGTATTAAAGACCGTCCACTTTTCTTTATACACTACCGTAAGTAGCCATAGATAATAGCCGCTCCGGTACTATTACTTTCTAGTCTTTTTCACGGTTCTCACGCATGGTTAGAAAAGGGTTGCGTAAGAGAGAAAGAGACGAAACAAGAACAAATGAAATGAAACGAAAAAAAAAAGAAACAACAACACGACTGGGCGTGACGCCATTATCGTCGTATAATGTGGCCCAACGATATTTAAACTGTAACGCTGTTCCGGAAGGTCGTACGCTAAAGTCTAACCCTTTTCACAGCTCATTTGCATTGCCGGCAGAAGAGTGAGAGAGCGAGAGAGACGGACAAGAAAAAAAAAGGAAAAAGTCGAAAGACCCCGTAGCTACAGCAGCTAAGCAATGTCGAAAAAGGGGTTACGTCAATCTGGCTCGCCGTGTTCACCCTGAGTACCCAGAACGTACAGAGGGTAGCTATGCAACGAGACAAACGACGGCTATTTCTCGAGGCTTTGTTTTAGGAGGCGTTTCCGAGGTACCTTTTTGCGCGAGGTCCAGTCCGGACAATGCCAGAGCATTCATCACTAATCCCGGAACGCCATACGGTCGCCCGGGTTATTCGTTCTCTTTCGTGCTTTTGCTCTTTGCCGGGATAAAAGTTAGGTCGTTTCTCTAAATGGTCAGCCGGGGAAGTCGTGTCTGTGATATTATGAGGACGGCTGGTATCACGTCCGGTTTACTTCTGGCCCGCTATACATCATCTGCGCAGTCTCGTCCCTAAAGTATGCGTTCCCGGTAGAGCTCAGCTTCCATTTATCACTTATGTAGAAGGTTAGAAAACCCTTTGCGAATTCCCGTGGGACATTACAGGTGTCTCCAGGGGGATGTTATACCCTGTGTTTTGACTATTTGAAATCCTGTTAACTCGCACCAGCTAACACGTATGTTATACGGGTGGGCTTGGTGTCAGAATACCGGCTGTATACACTGAGATCCTTTTCATGAGCTTCGGTTTGCGATACGGGACATTAGTCAGGCTCAAATTGTTTTCCTGAGTTTTTAATGCGATTGTTAAAGGAAATCACCTGTACGCTAGATGCCCGAAATAGCTAAATAATTACAGGCTGCTAAACTTGGATCAGTCGAGGAACTTGTAAACGAAAATTAGTGCGTTGAAGATGTAAAGAAACGGTAGAATTTTATTCGTCGTAAGATTTAGTGTTACTGGGTCTAATCCCCTGTCATCATTAACGGCAATATAAATAATGCTTAAGTACAAGTAAACGACAGCGACGTCATAGCTGGTACGTTTCCTGTCTGCGAAGTATAAAGGGTTTAGGAGATGGCATATTGTGATTCGTTAACCCAGGGAGGGTTGTGATAAAGAAATATTGAAAAATAAAAAGGACCTGGCCGGCGATATTACTTCTCCGATTGTACTGAAGTCTCCTATCTTGCGCACGGATCTCGTGCTTAATTATTACTCGCTGCAGGAGTCGACGACAATACGAGGCTCAGCACGTGCCGGTCCTCATTGTCGTTTTAAAACAAAAAGCTACGCCACGGGCTACCCTCGTGCAGCAGCTTCACGTATTGCAAAAATAAAATAAACGATTAGACTAGCGATAGGGGGTGCGTGCACGAAGAGTCTGATGTCGTAGCCAGAGGTTCCGCTAGGTCCAGAGAAAATGAATGGAGCAGTAGAGATGTTAAGGGAATCACGTAATCCTCTGGAACAGCGTAAGGGCACGACCTGGGGCCTTCTTGGGCAAGAATCCTCTAAAGTCTTGATGAACATAGGAGCTTCTGCCCGTTGCGTTTTAGACCTGGAGGAGCTGCGAGATTTATGGCCTCGTGTCAACCGTCCTTGGCCCTCAGGCATCTGCTACGTCGAGGGTGTTCGACGGATTTAGGTAACGCTAATTGCTCAACTATCCTGAGACTAGACTGTACGAGCGACACTTGTGTCTAGGAATTCTTTTACATGATTATCGGCATCTCTAGGGTTTGACGATGATGAGTTCCAGGACGGATCCTCGCGAGAGGACTTGGGCTAGTGTGAATGGAACATTGAGAATGTTTATGATGATGGAAAATGGAGACCAGGTTCCTCGGTTATTTCTATCGATCGCGATGGCGTCGGGACGACAAGGCGTAGCCGTCGTTTATGCGCCGGCGTATTCCTCTGGCACTTTCTGTCCTCCCTCACGATCAGCAAATAGTCCAGCTACCCGGTATCGATAATTTGTTTATAAACGGGGGAATATAGGAGAATACTGAAATCATCCGCTGGATGATGCACACGACTATTGTCCAGGAACTGTTCCTGAATAGGGTACGGTGATATAATAAAGGTAAACAGCGAGGTAGTTAGCCCTGGCATCCTAGAGGGAAATGGTGTCTAATGTGCTAAAGGAAAGAGCCAATTATCCGCCTGCGTCGGTTAGTTCCGGTAATTGCTGACTCTCATTCACGTTATTCTTCTACAGGTCATTCTGTAGTGATGAATGAGCCTATGGGGAAATTGGCCGACTGCAGACTTCTGAACTGGATAGATAGGCAGGTATTAATGAAGTATATTTACTCACTTTGCCATGCTCCTTATCGAAGTCACAATCTATTGGATCATTCGCATAGTTTCCAGGTGCAGGACCAAATACTAGTTGAAGATTGGTCCCGGTAGCTGTGAAGGCAATCTCCGTGTGTCCTTCGCGACATCCATTTTGAAACCGGACCTGTCGTTCCTCGACCGGCCTGTCCCGGTATCCGGTATATTTGACCTGAAGAAACGAAGGAGCCTCGTGTAGAAAACATATGCATCTTGATCTACTGTATTAGTCTTCGGGTGATTCATTGACTACGGAGAAATTCAAGTTGGAGAGGTTGCGCAAGACGAGGATAAGGACTCCAGCCTGGGACCGATTGCGAAGTGACATTCCTTAACGATTGCTCACTCTGGGATTTACATGAATCCCATTGATATATCTACAGTAAATATGATTTTCATTCTGAATGGAAATACCAGATCTTTCGACACTACTATACGTACAACGCTGAACTTTACAATTGCTTCTATAATGAAGTATTATAAATATTTAGAGGCAACGATAGGTCGCACCAAGTACTCGATACAATTTCTAATCTTTGAATTTAAAATGAACATGATTTCTAAGGAAAAACAAACCTCACTCTCTCGACTTAATCTTCGGAATAGTTCATCACTTTCAAATTTTGCTTTCTGATCAGGTACAACACGTGGCATTTTGAAGACAAGTCGTGGTCGCGGCTGTTCGTACAGCCCCATACCATCAAATGGTAGAACACCAACCCCAAGACCCCCCGCAGCCCCAGCGTGTTCACTCATCGCGTGCATCATCTTCGCGCACTATGACATAAACTGTCAGTTTTCAAAAAATGTTCAATTTCGTGATTTCTCGTCCTTATCCGTTTTTCTTAATGTCCGACGTTTGGATCGTTTATAGTACAGAAATACGCGTGGCGGATTACAGCACTTCGCCACGACACACGTGCCGCACACACCGTACGACGTGCCAGTGAAGACTGAAGAGATTTCGGTACCCCTGTTTGGTACATGTTACTACTAGCCTAACCTCCGTCTTTTCGCCCCACCTTCGACACGCCTCTGATCCCCACTACCTAAACTCCTGGTGCGACCATCCCACATTGATGGAGCAGCATAATTCCTCGCTCGGGATAGAATCTCGTTTATGAGAATTCTCACTGTACTAGCTTATATCAGGTTACAGCTGTATACTTAAGGATTTTTTCATTTTAAGGGTGCATAAGTCCGGCCCAATGGTACTTCTGTAAATACTTCTAGGACACTTCTCCTCCTGGATGATGAAGGAGTGGAGTATCTGGGGGTAGAAATTTTGGAGCATCAGACTTCATAGTGATTGGTAGGACTTACCCTACTCTACGGAATCGTGCTAAGGGTGTTTTATTCTTGAACCCCTGTTGGTTACTATAGTTACCTATATTATGTTTAATACGTACCACGTACGACGAGGCTGGCTCCCTGGCTTTAGGCCATCCCGAGATCTTCATCGTTCTCTCGACTGTCCCGGATCATCCTTTTGAGAAGATCATTGTTGAGAGACTCAACGATTAAGATCAGTGATCCTTTGCCGGGTGTTATATGCTACCAACCGGATACCTTTTTATCTTTTTCATTCTTCTTTCTCGTAGCCTGTTGGAACATTTATTTATTATTTTTTTTCGGCTGCTCTCAGAACACAGAGGATATACTGTAACATGAAGTGACGTACGTGCACGTGCTGAGACTGTTCGTGAAGAGGAACGTTCTGGACCGTGGATTATTATTATTGTTCTGCAAACTCTTGCGAAATCCTCAGCGTCCCGTTATCGATTGGCAGTAATGCGCATACGCCATAGAATGTTGATGGAGGGTCGTAGTTACATATATCCATAAGACACCATACTTGTGTAGCTGCTTCTCTTTGTTCTCTGAAATTTTATTTTATTATATTTTGCCAATAATTTTCAAGACTCACTAATGCTTATTATTATCCTATAAAATTTACTGCAAGAGTCTAACGTAATATTGTTAAAGTATGCAGAATGCATTTTTAAAACCTGGTGCGGTTACTTTCGGTAAACAATATATACCTAAATGGTTTATAGACATTTTTCATGAGTAAACTAAAAATGGTCAGCAGCGGTCAATACGGTATCCTCGCTATGCTTCCATGCTTTTGATTTTGAAACGTGGTTTATTTTATGGTCCACCTTTATGACGGGCTATCGTATACCAGACCACTATATCTTGGACCGTCTTTCGACCATTTTTATTGAACGCTCGTTCTGACTAGTTTTCGTATTTTTACGTTTTTATAAACCCACCGAGAATCGTCTAGAAACTTTTTCAAAAACCATGCGCCGTGACCGTAATTATACTAGTTAAACGTGTAAAACCGAAACGGTACATCTAAATGCTTTCTATTCATTTTATTAAATACTTAAATTTCTACTAAAATGGAGTTTCACCGGTTTTCTTGTTCTTTTAATAGATCTTTTAATAGTACTGCCAATTTCACCTTTTTCTAAGACTATAGTAGTGTCACACAGACATCTGAACATAAAATTCGGACGAGAGATGTTGGAATGGATGAGTATTGACTTTTTCACATTCACGAGTTCAATGTGTCTTGTAACGGTTCGTAAAGAATGCAATTCGTAGCAATTTACACGTAATTTTCATCACGGAAACGTACGCTAAAATAGAAAATATATATATATTATATATATCAGTGTAAAACCGTACACATACATTGCACGAAAAATTGTATGTATAGAGCTACGTAACTTATACGAGACGAGACTTCATTCTCGAGCTGTCAAAAAAAAAAGACATTGAACTAGAACTATAATCTATTAAATACATAAATCTTGATTGAAATGGAGTATAGGTACCCCTGAAAGAAAAATAACCTATTGCCCTTAAAAGAGCTAAGTAGGAAGTAGATATTTTAAACCTTTTCAAAGAGCTAGTCCTAGAGGCTGTTAAAAATTCCCATAAAACAACCTTTTGTTGTACTTTCGGCACGTTCCTGCCTAAAACGTAATATGTCAGACCGTTCTTTTCCTACCGGTTATTCTTGTAGTGTCGCGCGTGAGTGCGCGTGAACGCGTGAAGAACACTGAAGAAGAATACGATACCCGCCTCACAATTTTCATTGGTCCAGCATGTCCGCCAATGAGTAAGCTGCGCATAAGGCAGCACGAGCCACGGCAGCGTCGGGACGCTGACGCCGACGCCGTCACCGTCCCTGTCCGCAGCATGTGTCTGGTAGCGTCCAGCTACTGCACTGTATGCGATAAAACATAAAGAAACCATTTTACCCTCCACATAGAGCATTCGATCGATACTTCCTTCGTTGCCAGAGACATAACTGTAAACAGGATGTCGTGGTTACTAAGGATATTACCAGGGCAACCAAGAATATCACCAGGGTATTAAAGGATATCCTCAAGTCACTAGTAAGCATTCTTATTAACAGCATAAAACATATAATGCTAACAGATAAAAATATCCTGAGTACAGTATCTTTACAGCGACGTGCTTACGAGCGTCATCGATCAAGAGTAAGTAAGAAAAGAAACTAACCTTGACAATATTTTGAAGTGCTCCAGTCGTTGTGAGAATCATTTCATTTGAGGTTAAGAATGCTACGTCGACGGTGGATGTACAACCCCCTCCAGGGAGACCACACGTTATTTTCGACGCGAAAAGGAATCAGCTCGAAAGTGGAAGACAGGCTGAGATACTGAGGGAGAATTTTATTCTTCTGAAGAAACTTCATAACATCATGCACAGACGTGAAGTTAACGACCTTTCCAGACAGAAATCAGGTTGTGTTAGAACACGATAATCATTGTTATAGGCATTGCAATTGGATACAACTAACGTGAATTCTCGATTGATGTCATCAAGCAATGAATAAATAAAATTGACATACGTGACAGTTTTCGATATTAATTCAGAAAATACGTCCTATAATGTCTGGAGATTCCTTGGACTTAGGGATGCAAGAATTTGTTGGAGAGGTGGATTTCTCTGGAAATGAGGAAGAAGGTGTGGAACAGGAAGTGAGTTCTCGAATTCTTACGCGGGACGAAGCTTCGAAGTGTCTTTGCAACTTGGGAAAAATCGATTCTGGACTAGGATATGCATACTTATCGATTAAAGCATCGGATATGGGATTGACTGATATTAGTGTAATACCCTGCTTTAGGAATGTCATATATGTTGATGTCTCGGGTAACCGATTGACTCCGGATGCAATGTCTGTACTGACTTCAATGACATTTTTGCTAATGTTACAGGCCGATAGAAACGGCCTTCCGACAGGCAGCATGGAGCCTATGCTTTATCTTCAAGTTCTTACATTAAATAGAAATAATATAACAAACACGACAGGCATCTCGCATAAATTGCTTGAATGCCTAGAGCTTAATTATAATGGGATAAAAAATGTATCCTTAAATCCGTACTTACTGAAGAATCTGAAGATCCTTGAATTACGTGGCAACGCAATTTCCGGAATGGGTGGCATATATTGCCCTACACTGGTTCGCTTATACTTGGCTGAAAATTGGCTGACTATTATCGAAGGACTGGAGACTCTTGTAAATTTGAGTGTCCTTCATATTCGTGCCAATAAAATAGAAGTACTGGATGGATTTGAAAATCCTCACAGCTGTCCTAAACTCACTTATCTTAATTTAAGAAACAATTGTTTGCGTGGAATGGACGAGATAAGAAAGCTGCGTTATCTGGTGAAATTAGAAAGTTTAATTATTATGGAAAATAATCTCGATATGGGTGAGGAGTCTGCATACAGAATTCCTGTACTTAGGATATTACCAAATCTCAAGAGAATTGATAAAGATCCTGTTCTAGAGGACGAGAGGGTAGAAGCATCAGATATACTCCAATGAATAATGAACTTGTATGTAGTCACATGTAGAACAACTGTACGCAGTGTTTGGTGGTTTTCGTTGAATGTATTTTGCGGTCCTGTTTCGTCCGTTTCAAAGGACCGGAATGAAAGAAATAAATGTTCCATCTCCACTATTTGAGAATCACTGCTTTGAGGAAAATTTTCGATCCCCATCTTTTAAACAGGTTACTGAGTCCGTAACTCCTCTGTCGATAAAACACTGTCGGTAAGGTCACAATGGGTAAATACTTTTCCCCAGAACCATACCGTGTCGCTTCGATCGCATTTTACTTTCGTACTAAGAACGCTACGTGGCGCTACTGTACGCCCATATTGCTTAAAAAAGCAGTCAATTCATTATCATTTGCTAGACCTGCTCGGCGGTATCCGCGGTGAGCAGTTCTTTGAAGCCGGCTCCAAAAGTCTCATATCTACCACTAGCTCTATTATTATCCATTGTTTTAACAAAATTTCTTTGATATCCACCTTCATTTAAACAATTGAAAAATGTCCAACAAGTTGTCGTACAAAGTTGGTAAGTACTAAGAACTTCGTATAAGATTGGAGCACGTGTTGATCCCACGCTGCTCCGAAATTTATGAACTTGGTAGACGATTTGAAATATCATTAAAATGGTCTCATTGTTATGAAAATCCAAATATTTCTTAAAATTTATTAAATTTGTATTCGTATTCATAATTTATTAAATTTCTTAAATTTTTTTTCATTACAGCGGATCTCTCGCTAGCTGATTGGGGAAGGAAGGAAATAACACTGGCTGAAAATGAAATGCCTGGTTTGATGTCTCTACGCAAGAAATACGGACCAACGAAAATATTAAAAGGAGCTCGTATTGCTGGCTGCTTACACATGACTATACAAACCGCTGTACTTATTGAAACACTCGTGGAGCTTGGGGCTGAGGTATATATATATATGTATAATTAAATTTTTTTAAATATAAGATATTTCTATACTGGCAAATATCACAGAGAGTCTTCTTGCCTTGGATTTTTTCACAGCCTCGAAACTTTTTCTTAAATGAAATAAACTTACCTAAGCTGTTAATTATACTGCGTTGCTTTTATAAAATTAATTACATTCGCCAACTATACATCTTATACGTGAAACGTCTTGGATATACAATAGTTCTCTCCGAGGCAAACACATAAGAGTGAGCCGAAGATTGACTCTTACTGACCCATTACACCTATCAATGGACTAGAAACGGTTTTCGTGATTAAAATGAATTATCTGCGATGTATAACTCGTGGGTAACTGTTTTCTACAGCACACGTAATTATTAATAAACGAAAGTATAATCTATCTACGAGTAAAACGTGACGTCTAGGGGGCTGTTTTAATTTGAAACTCATATCGAGAAAACCCCTCTAAATTATTACCGCAACAGGCTTTCATATATGTAGTGGAACTATTGTAATAATGTCGTACCAAAATGGCGAGTACTGAAAAATTGCATAAGAGATATTTTTTCATAACTATAAAAAGATCCAAATTGTAAGAACGAAGTTCTTAACGTTAACAATACTTATTTAAATTCTCTATTGTGTGAAGAGTAAGAATGATCACAATATTAGAATCATACCAGGTCAACAATATGTCGAGCGTGACGACTTTTGCCGACTATGATTAGCGACTTTGTTATGATAAAAGACTACATAAGGTTATCATGATGCATGATCCCGAGCGAGAGCAATTCCAACCACGTTATTCCGAATTTTTTATTTAATTTATTAATTATTCATCAGGTAAGATGGTCATCGTGCAATATCTTCAGCACTCAGGATCATGCGGCTGCAGCTATGGCAAAAGCTGGGATTCCCGTATTCGCATGGAAAGGCGAGACCGACGAGGAATATATCTGGTGCATAGAACAGACGCTAGTCTTCGACGATGGAAAACCTTTAAATCTCATCCTCGACGACGGTGGAGACTTAACAAATTTGGTGCATGAAAAGTTCCCTCAATATCTTACAGAATGCCGGGGCGTATCTGAGGAGACTACTACGGGTGTTCATAATCTGTACAAGATGTTGAAAAATGGTACACTCAAAGTTCCTGTGATAAATGTCAATGACTCTGTCACGAAGGTTAGTACCCGGACCAGATAATTGTAACATCAGAGATTGTATTAAAGCATACTATCTACTTATTTTTCATCACCAGAGTAAATTTGACAATCTTTATGGATGTCGGGAGTCTCTGATTGATGGAATCAAAAGAGCTACTGATATTATGCTCGCGGGGAAGGTCTGCGTTGTCGCAGGATACGGAGACGTGGGCAAGGGATGTGCACAGAGTCTTCGCGCTCTGGGCGGTCGAGTAATAATCACGGAAATTGATCCCATAAACGCCCTTCAAGCTGCTATGGAAGGATATGAGGCAAGAATTTTATTATTTGCATTTTTATATATAATAATTTATAATTTATCCATTACCTCATTGGTATCCTTATATATTGTTAGGTTACTACAATGGATGAAGTGTCTCACAAGGGTCAGATATATGTCACTACTACTGGATGTAAAGATATTATATTAGGATCTCATTTTCTAAATATGCCAAATGATGCAATTGTCTGTAATATTGGGCATTTTGACTGTGAGATCCAGGTTAATTGGCTGGATAAAAATGCCGTGGAGAAAATCAATATTAAACCCCAAGTTGATCGCTATAAGCTTAGCAATGGAAGGTAAGTTAACAAAATTTTAAATTCTACGAATATGTCATTTGTTTTATATTACAGGCATATTATCATTCTTGCTGAAGGTCGACTAGTTAATTTAGGATGTGCTACAGGGCACTCTAGTTTTGTCATGAGTAATTCCTTTACAAATCAAGTACTGGCACAAATTGAACTTTGGACTAAATCTGATTCTTATTCAGTTGGAGTTCATATGTTGCCCAAAAGAGTAAGACACAATTTATTACTGGCATGCATTTTGCTGTCTGTCATCACTATCATTTTTTGGCACGATACAATATTTATATTTTTGTTTATAGTTGGATGAAGAAGTAGCTGCTCTTCACTTAAATCACCTGGGAGTAAAGTTGACAACACTTACTCCAGAACAATCTAAATATCTGGATATACCTATTAATGGTCCTTTCAAACCTGATCATTACAGATATTAGAAAGCATGTAATAAACTTTTTTGTCATAAAAAGAAATGAAATCTATCAACGAAAGAACATCTTCGTTTGAATAATCATAAATTTTTATTTGATCACAGTTCAAACAGTTTGAGAATCACATTTCAAACATTCAAAAATATTATGTAATTGGCAACTATTCAAATTGACTTATGTAAAACAATGGTGAATAAACAAAAGCGTGAAGTGCCTCTTTCGTTTAAATAGTTTTGAAATGTTCCATTTCCATAGTATAATTGTTATACAAACACTTGTAATATGTCGTAATGTATACACTATCAAAAATGACAATTATACCAATGTGGTCACCACCATTGAGAGTAGAACCTTTAATTAAAGTAATATAAAAGATTGCTGTACATATTAGATATTAATGAAAACAACTGTCAGCAGCATAAACATTATTTCATATTATTTATCTATATTTCCAAGCTCTTGAGGTGGACTTAACTACTAGCTGGAATATTTTACGGTGCCTCTAAACGTAGGTCGTTATCAATAATTGCACAATTAAACCGGGAAAGGGAACTACTATCAATACGGGTGAAATTGATAACATTGCAAGTATTTGATTTATTTGTATCAGTATGAATATAAAGAATTTCTCTTCAGTCAAACTCCTTGAATTTGAAATATTATTCTTGGATATAGGTGATACAAGCGAAAAAAAGAATTAAACTTTACAAAAAAAAAACAAGTCAATACAGAATCAAACTCCAAAAAATCTCTAACCACTTTAAATATAAGAAACAATTATAAAAAGTCAAGGATATCCTTATTATAATTTATTATCGCTTCTGTTTAATGTCTCTTATCAAGTAAATTATGTACGTTATTACATCTATAACGTTCACATTTTAGAAAGTGTAGCAGTTTCCTGCAAACAAGAGCAACCACAACCTGCAGGACATAAAGTTTCATTAGCAAACCAAGCAGCCAAGTGCTGTGTGTGTCCACCGTGTCCACAGACTATACAAAAATTGCTGAGTCCTAAAAAATAAGAAATTAATTATAATAGACAGCTCTTGAGTTGTTTGCTAATTTATTCCAAGTTATAATATAAATCTAGTTACTTACCACGTACAGATATATGACATACAACGCACTCCAGGGTTAATCGCCTACAGTTAAAACATTGTGGACCCCTACTGGCTTTGCTACAGGCATAACATTCACTCTGGAACTCAACGCCCTTATGTGTATCCGATGACGTTGCGTTTACATGTTTAAGGACTTGTGCCCTGGCATCTAATAATCGCCATCGGTGCAATACCTCCGCATATGCTTTCTTGTATCCGTCGTAAAGTGTGGTATTCTTCTCATCCAACATCCTAAGTGCATTAATAAATTGAGGATAAATATTTCCTAATCAAACTTATGATCATACAAAAAAGTACCTAATATTGCGGCCGGTGTCCGTGAAAGAATCCTGCATAATTTTAGGATCGTCCAATGATTCTGACCAAGAATTAGACCTGTGTTGTTTGAGATCCTGGAAGTTCCATCCCTCCAACGAAGTATCCGCTGGATGTATTGTGTGATACGGTGAGCCCCCAGGCTAAAAATTATTATTTATTAATTAAAAAGGATACTGAAGTAATACAAAGCCACACACACACACATACATATACATATATAGATTGTAACACTCTGTGAATATCAAATCATGGTTCGCAATTCAATATAATACATAGGTGGAACATATTAAGATGATAACTGGGAATGGGTATTTGATATAGTGCTTGGGAATGTGTAATGAGATACCGCTTCATCATAGTGCTGCACTGAAAGAGTATAAAGATTCATATAACATATACATACAACATGACAAAGGAAAATCTATTGAATATTTAAATTGGCACGACAGAGAACCCTAAGAACCATTCTATCCCAAGACTGATGTATAACACAGAACATTGAAAAGCGAACCATACCTTACCTTTAAGCACCATTTTCCTATGGAAAGCCTCTATAACAAAGATAATGGGTTGTGAGTTTTGTTACCGGTTATGATAACATCTTGTATATCGTATGAAATCTTGCGTTATTAACAAACTGTGGGTTATTAATTAACCGTGCGTTACGTCGGTACAGTATTGATAACCGTAATCCTCATCCTAATTAAGATATATATAATTCTTTTCATTATATTATATGGTTCTTGAGGTACTCAGTCGGCGAAAATAATACAACTGATTAAAAAAAATCGATGATAATAAAAAAATGTACTCTAATTCCAATAATAATACTCATACTATACCGTCGTATCACAAGAGATGCTTACCAGAAGGGTTAATTATAAATGCATGGTACTTGTTAATTTATTAAAAAATAATATTTCTTTAAAAATGTTTCTGAAAACATTTAAAACATTATGAGTTCATGTTTTTTTAAAAAATATATAATAATTTCTAGATAAAATCTCTGATTTATTCTGTTAAAATATGACGATACTCCGCAAAAAGAAAAAAAAAACAATATTTTCAGATATTTGGAATATTTCACAGAAAAATTTAGAAGAAATTACTGAGAAATTGAAAAAGAATTTTCTGTGTGAATCTGTGAAATCTAATCGAAGTTATTCCACTAAAAATCACAACAAATTTCATTTTCGATTTTAGAAGAGTTAGACAAAATTTGAGAAAAGTATAGAGATACTCAAGTACAGTTTTATCAATTTTTTCTATTTTCATCTGACATTTTTCTTTTGAAGTGTTCCAAGTGCTGTAATTTTTCAAATTTTAGGGCAATTTTTCACCAGAAAGGATACATAACAATGATGATAAATATAAATAATAAATTAGTTTACTCACACTAACGTTTACAGATTTACTAATAGATCGTCCCTGGATTGAATCTGAATTCTCAGATCTGTAACTAAAGGTGCAGCTCAGCATCCCTGCCATCTGTATATCTGACTGACTGGCATAATGTTGTATTCTAGAGATGAAAAAAATGTTTTACAATTTAAAGGCAGATATAAAAAAAAATACTATATCCTTCATTGAACTTACAATGAATGTATTAAATTTTGCCCAAATGGATGTAGAGGCCATGTTGCATCAATGTCAGATGACTGACAAGAATTTTGTTGAGTGTTTGTCAGTGGTTGGGATATAATCAGAGCTGCTAAATACCATGCCTGGACCAAATCAGGTCGTTCTAACGAAGCAGCAACATTTGCATTATATCGACACATTGCTGGGATATCCGTTATATTTATACTAAAAATTAAATCATGAAATTGGATCAAACTTATCTAGAGAGATCTAAATGTTTTTTAATATCTTATACTCACACGTATTTCTCAGCCAGTTCTTTGTTCACGAAAAACAATGATGATGCATCGTATATCGTGACCATGGAATGATAATTTCTACAGCAAGATCTATTGTGAGTTTTACTCATACCATGTACACCACGTCTTGTACTTTTCTATTGGTATGTTAAAAATTATTTATTTGTACATAAAAAAGTATTAATGAAAGTGTATTATAATATGAGCTTACACGTTCTTGAAAATAAAAGGAGCTTATGGAAACATTATCGCTTGGCTGCGCATAGGCATTGGAGTACATGTGCATAAAGTGTCCTCTATTATTAACACCATTTCCCAAGGCAGATAGTGCTCTTGGAGTAGCTCCTTCTGGTTTTATGGAAGGCCGTCTGACATAGGAAGAGCGACCGAAGCAAACTAGAATACCTTTTATAAAAGATAAATTAAATAATGTCAAATTCCTTATCATTAAACAATTGAATGAAGCATTTATTACATACCTACGGAACAGAACTTGGCACCTGACGTACGTGGAAATGGAATATATGCATCTTGATAATTTGTAAAGACTCCTGTTGAATTTAAAAAATTTGCATTATGTTGCATATATCCTAAATGCTTTCCTTCGGATTCATCAATAGCGCACATCTAAAAAATGGACCATTGTATTTATATGAAATATTAATAAGTATTTTATTAAACTACGGACTTGTTCTAACGTTATGATGAGCTGCCTTAAACATGGTTCCAAGCAGGAACGATTTTTTCGAACTCTTTGTTGTGCTGTTTGCTTTAAAACTTTTAGTAGTTTTGCCATTGTTGGGTTATCCACTGTTGTTCCTGGACAGAATTGGAAGGTCGGCTGTGCGCTGTATGGATAATTACCAGGAAAATTAACTTTCAGTATAACATTGTAATTTTTATTAGAAGCTGTCACGGTACAGCTACGTTCCACCGCGTCCATTGTGTTCACCTAAAAGAAAGTAACGATTTCAAAAGTCTATTTAGAAAATGCATGCCATTAGCGAAGTTATTTTTTATACCTCTATATTTGGTATATTCATATTGATTAAGGAGAATTCCTGTTGTAATGTCTTTGGTTGCGTTGGGGATGGCACTTCCTTGTCGAAATCGGTGTAAGTACTGACATCATGATGCAACGATTGACTATCCATTTTTGAAGAAACGCAGTTCATCTCTCTTTCGTTTTGAGTGTCGTGAAATTGAAGCTGCTGAACTGAATTTAATGTTTCTGACACTTTAATTATTAACTTCTTAATCATATGGTTTTTATATTTGAAAATTTGTATTGTAACTTACTGGGATTATTGTCTTCTGAATACTGAGTATACACAGAGGTACCATCGTCTAGATCGTGACCACATAGCTAAAAAGAGTAAGAAAAGCGTTCAATTTACCATTACATTTAAATAAAAATTTAATATCTGTACCTTCTGCAAGAATGGATCGATCTTGAATATCCTTAGACATTGATCCTTCGACCACGTTATTAATTCAAAATCATTAGATTCTACAAAACATTGTTATTATACAATAGCTGATATTTTTATCGAAGTGAAAAATTTTATGTATACTGAATGTACCTAGTTTTTGGTGTCGCCACTGAAATTCTAAGACAACATCTGTATGGCCTACAAATGTGTAAATAGGTGTTCCAAGATTAGAAGTATTCCACAGTAATAAACTATTTTCACCACGTCGCAATTGTGGAACAACTATCGTAACCAGTCCTTCTCCAAAAGGCTAAGTAATAAAATTTTAGGCAGCAGAATGAAGAAGAATCTAACACAATATGTAATTTTATGAGTAGGGAATGATAACAATAATATACCGTATATCTAGCTCTCCATACAGGAGAATTTGTAGTGAGAATACTTTCCGCCCTTCTAGGATTACTAACATCAAATATCTTTACAGTACAATCTTGACTGGATGTTGCCAATTGATTCTGTTGGAATGGGCACCAGTCGAGACCATGAATCTAGAAATGATTGTCAGTAACACTCTTTCTCAATATTAATTATTGTTTTGCTAGCCACTTTGAAAAAGTATATAAAACACCTTTGTAAGATGGGCAGCTATATATTGCACAGGACTATTTCCTTTACGCTGATCCCATATCTTAACATCACCATCATGAGCTGTAGCCAATGTATGCGGTGATAAACCATTCCATCTTACTTGTGATGACCCTGCTAAAATATCATCTCATGTGTTATCAAGTGCTGTAAACTATTATTACGATTGATATAGTGTATGATAAAAAAGTGTATCATCAGTACTATCTTGATGGCTTACCAACAGCAGACAAAGATAAGCAAGGTCTTCTTTGATCCCGTATATCCCAAATATGTATAAAAGTATCAATACTGCAAGAAGCTAAGATATCAGGTTCTTTAGGATGCCAATTTAAATCACTAACAACTCGAGTGTGTGCTCTTAAGCTATGAGTCGTAGTCAAGTCATATCCTCCACCTCCAGCAAAGCTCAATATCTCAACACGAGTATTGCTCTGTCAGTATCAAATATTTTATAAGCACAAGAACAACAATATTCTAACAACTATAACAAGTTGTTTTTCAATCACTAAAACTTTCTTACAGATATTGCACACAGATGACAATTGATTAATGTTGGATTCCATTCAGCAGATCCAACCTCGTACTTGCTTTGACGCTGAAATTTTCTTAATGCGTCAGTCCCTTCATCAAGTTGTTTAATAGCAAAGTATCTGCGTCTGGAAGGGAGGATAGTGACACTGGGATTTGGTCTCAAAAACAACACATTGAGACTTACCCAGCTAGTAAAACGTAATTACCAGTCGCATCCACAGCCATAGTATTAGCCTATAGGAAAAAAACAGAAAGGTTCAGTGTTATCTTAGCTATTTATTCAGTATCAGAATTCCTGTATAGAAAATAAATAAAAGTAGTTTAATGTTATTGTTTAAGTACTAGAATTCCTTAGAAAACAAATTACCTGTAAATCTCGATGCTCCGTAACCACATAGTCATTTCCCCAACGTTTTGACATCTTAACGAGTACAAGCGGCTCACAGCCATCAGGTTACGGAGCACAATAGCTATACATACGTTATGCTCAGGGTCTTGTATATAGGTCTGGGCACTTCCCTATCCTCAGCAATCCTCACCACGTTGTAGCTCGTAACCGTAATGTGGACGATTTTGCCGGCAAGCTCTAGTGTCGAAGAAGCCAGCTGAAACAGCGCATGCGCAGCTGTAAATTCACGCAACCTCTTATCTCCGATTCAAAAGGAAAGTTACACGCAAAAAACCGATGCGATACCAATTAAATGAAATTTAACAATCTAATTTTAAAGTTAGACAAATAAAGAATTTATTATTTAAAAAAGTGAAGTTAAATGGACCAATTCACCTAAAAGTCGTGAAAATTGAATGATGCTATAATTGCGTATATACTGAAAACTTTTAATTTGATGAAAATACCTCTGGACAAGTACAAAAAGTGAAATATCTACACAAGTAGAATTTTTTTCGTAGCTAAGTTCAATAGTATAAATATTTTCTCTCTTTTGCACTTGTTGAATTTATATTACATCACTATATGAAATTGGTTCCACAAGGTCTAATTCTCTTTGTAAAAAGACTTTCTCCGGTTTCAGTGTAGGAATTTCCAATGAAAAATCTTTCAAAGGAGATATACTAACGTATACAGTCAATTTTTGTTTGTGTCATAACTTTTTTACTAAATTTATTTGTAACTCCTGTGAGATTTTCAAATGCGAATTCCTACCATTGTAATTCAAGCAGGGCACGATGCACTTTCTGGTTATTATTGCTTCTTTCCACTTCTTTCAATTCCAATTACGGTATATTACACATTACGAACAAAGCTGCAGATTACGTATTCAAGAGAGATAACTACGCACGCCTAGTGCTACCACGTGATTCGCTCTTTCAACACTAACGCCTCTTGCGGTAGTGTCCACCTTATGGGTACGCGTTTTTCGCCTAAAGGGCTATCTACAATGAGACATAACCGTAAGACGGATGACGGAAGTCGTTGTCGGAAGACGGAACGTGCGTTCCACAATGAAGTCGTTTGACGGAAGCGTTTGACGGATGTCGTAATCGGCTGTCGTAAGAGAGATGACCAACTCCCATCTCTTCCGTCTTCCGACAACGTTAACGTGCACGCCGGTGGCAACACCGCCCTCTGCCACAAAACATTCTGTACTCTGATTGGCTGCAGAATCGAAGTGTCGCGCGTTACGGTAACGACATTGTGGATTCATGTCGGAACGAAATCGGAACGCTGCCCCGTCTCCGGCAAAACGACAACGACAACGACTAACGCTTCAGCCTAGTGCTTACGACAACGTCTCATTGTAGATAGCCCTTAAGTGCCCAGACCCAGACCCAATCCGACTGTATTAAAAATAAATGAAAACATGAAAACTGCTAAAAATACGTGGTTGGCCTTGAAAAAATAAGAAAGCAGAAAACGTACGAAGTTTTATATTTTACAAAACCATCATTCATTTTTTTTCTCGTTTCTTTAATATTCCCAGTCACATATCTTATACGTTTCGATTGCTAATCTAATGCACAATACTTTAGTTGGTGCCATAACAATTGCGAAGTCGAACCGACCGATTTACGAACATATCAGAAGTCCTTTTATTTCTTTTTCTAATTTTCCAACGAAGAATGACGTCCGGACGCTGCATTTGCTATTTCTGTCATACAAAGAGCGTATAGTGTGGCATACATTCATATATGTATATATCGTGTGCGCTTGTACCTGCTTAAAGTCACAAATAATTGGTAGTGTCTCAACGACAGTGCACCTACGGGTAAAAAGTTTCTATTGAGAGAAAAAATCAGTTGAGGAGTGTAAAAGACGAATAAATAGTTTGGAGGCGCGAAGCTTTGTGGTGCATATTTCGATAGCGCGTAATCGAACATAAAGAAACGACAATGTTCGTGATTATGGATTGTTTTCTGTAGTAGCGGACGTGAAGTAAAAGATTCTCAGGTTGTATATTTTCTGTGAATGATAATATCTAGGTGAGGGAGTATACGGTCAGTCTGAATAAGTAGGTTGCAAACAAGTAAAGAAGGAAGAAACGCAGAATCGAAGTCAGTCCAGGCAAGAATAAACAGACAGACTTTGTTTCAAGTCGAGTGGTTGCTTATCTCCATTACGTTCATTACGAAAGCGTCAAGTTCATCTGTACATATTTCTGACGCGTACCTGCATTTTGAAGTAGGTGCGCGTAAACGGACATTAAGGACAAGAATAAGAAATTAGTACCTGGATTATCAGTTACAAGGTGAACATCATTGCGGTGGAGAAACAAGAAAAGAAAAAAGAGAGACTTACGACTTTATAGATCTGACATATATCGTTTGTCTTTGAAATCCTTTTCTAGTGATCTGTAATGTACCTCAAATATAGTTCCGAGGAAAATGCCACTACGTCCACGATAAATTTTGTACACTCGAAAAGGAAAGGAATCTTCATATACTTAAAAAAGATGTTGAAGAACTCAATAAGTCTTCGAAATCGTATAAGTTTTTTAACGCTTCGCCGTTACTGAACGTACACACTGTCTTGAAGGAACAGTTATTCTGATATCAAAGATCCAAATATCAATGGCTCATAGCACAACTTGGTCTCACTAAGCCAAGTATTCAGGTATATAAGTACAGCAACATTACTAGATATCTGTCAAGATTAAGATCCATTGGAAAGAGGGTGGAATACTGGTGCAATCATGAAGCTTTTGGAGAGTACCCGCTTTGAAGCTATAAACAGTGCCTTGTCAATTACTACCGGAGATAGTAAAATACTGGGAAGGTGAGACATTGATTATCCATTCAAGGCAGAATACTACCATAAAAGACACTTATATTCTAGAATTGAAAGCTACTCGTGCAAAATGGCTGGTAACGATAAGCAACTGTACAAGCGTTTTAACTCAGAACAAGGAGTAACACCACACGACCTTCAAGCTTTGTCGCCACCTCAGACGTCTCTTGGAGCGTCACCGGCACAAAGTTACTTTAGGTATACATATCTTTTTACTTATATGTCTCCCTATTATGTCTGACTGTTTAGCAGTCTGTGTGTGAGTGGCATACCATATCCCCAATCTACAGCCGTAGTGTATCTGGAGACGAAGATGGACCACTGTGCGACACTATCAGTCGCAAGACACTCTTCTATTTGATTGCAACATTGAACTCAGCCTTCCATCCAGACTATGATTTTTCTGATGCGAAGAGCCATGAATTCAGTAAAGAACCGAGTCTTCAATGGGTGATGAATGCAGTCGACAGTAATCTCAGCGCTACTGCAGGAGAACATTATCGTACGCTGCGTTCCGCACTATGGGCAGCTGTAGAAGATGAAATATCAATGGGCGAATGTGATATTTACAGGTGATTGCCGGATTTCTATTATCAGGATAATCTTCTATACTCCATTCTTTTAAAAAAAAACTCTTTCCATAATAAATCTTTGGCAGTTACAATCCGGACCTGGCATCAGATCCCTTTGGCGAGGATGGATGCTTGTGGTCTTTCAATTACTTCTTTTACAATAAAAGATTGAAAAGAATTGTATTTTTCACCTGCAGAGCAATAAAGTGAGTGCAAATACCAACAAAAAAAAAAAAAGAAGCATAAAACCATTCAGTTCAACTACGCTTTTTGCAAGGTAAAATAAATGCTACCTTTTTTTTATTCCAGCCCTATGTATATCTTGGATTCCGGGGTCGGCAGTGATTTTACAATGGACGAGGACGACGAGGAACATTACTGAACTTGATTAAAGGGTTATCCATATTATCACGAACCTCGGAAAGTTTTCTTTTTCTCATATATTTTAGGTTTAGTCTTCAGCTTATCTCGCGTCGAAATATCAGTTTTATTTCCTAGCGACGAGGGCCGCAGTGTGTTTTTTTTCAATGTCGCCCGACATTTCACAATACTATACTTTATATATTGATATAAACGTCAAGATGTTTACTATGCATGCAATGTGGCAGAAGTAAGGGGTTTGTAATTAAGAAAAAAAAAGGAATCGACTTAAGTCACTCTAATTGCGAGGTCATACAGAAGGTATTTTCATCCGACTCGATAAAAAAAATACGTATCGTCATATTCTCATGCAACAAGTTTTTACATAACAATAAAAACGACTGTAAGCGTTTAGCGTTTCTCGTCAATCTCTATTATTTTTATTGTAAAGAGACATTTTACCAGTCTTATATAACCTTATTCTTTGCATTTTAAACAAAAAGATATATCGACGATCGGGTATTGATTACAATCAGCAGTATTAGATATCAGGTTTTTTGGACAACTATTCCATTAAACTTTTCCCCTTGGGAGATATGGAAATTTGTAGGAAAATTGTCGCATTTTCATCGTATTTTCAATGTATATATCGTTAATTAGAACAAAAAATATTAAGGGTGTATCCACATCCACATTTAACGTTTGCGCGGCGAAGCAGAGTCGCCACGATTGTTGGCGTTAATTATGATAATAATGTACGTCTTTAGAATTAGTTAATTCACGATGAAGCATTGTACAATTTTATGCATAGATCCAACCTTCGAATCCTTATCACTAGTAATAAATATTCTCAGTATGATAATCTGTACACCATATAATATTTTCTTTGATAGAATTTTACTTAATAACACGAAAAACCGATTAAGTCGTTACCAATTAAGAATTTTGTCACGTACATACAAAATTCTTCTTTTTGTCATTTTTCGATATTGAGTCATAGTTATTGAGCTTCAAATTTCATTATCTTTTATTTCGTTACTCCCTGAAACACGGAAGTGTTCATTTTGCAATGAACAAAAATTTGTGTTTTTACGGACGGGCAATTCTCTATAATCCATTCGAATATATATATATATATATACTTTACATAACATTTCTTGCTGCGACTCATTAGAGATAAGAATTCGTTCTTCTTACATGAACCGACTATAATGGAGTCATAATACGGCGGATCGGTATCCGATATCGTGATATATGTTTACGGTATTAACGATTATGATCGTTTAACGAGTGTCATTGATTTTTGATTAAATACAACAAGTCAGACTTTGTTGTAGCGTGAATATTATTTATGTTTACAAGAACAGTAACAATAACGCGCATTCTGTGTCACATTGTAAATTTCACGTTATATGAATAAAACCTCTTGGCTTAACAATAGCTATTATTTTTGTACACAGTTGTCAAACTGTGAATATTATTGACTTTATGTTATCGTCATATCCCACATTACGAAACAGATCAGATTGACATCTGCATCAATAACGGGGGACGATAATCAAAATACGAGCGCATAACATAAGCTATGCAGAATTTCGTACAGGATGTGACTTACCCAATTCGCTCTGATACATTCAATTATTTGTACATCATCACATCCGGTGATTGATACATGCACATATAAGCATCACAGAGGAGTCGCTTTGCGTGTTCTGGTAAATGACGATCATCAGTCAATTCCGTTAAGTAGTTGACACCTTCTTCGCTCAGCCAATAAGGAAAGTCTGGACACGGTACCATTTCCGGAATATTGTAGCCATTTTGCTCACCTGAGAAGATAATCAAAGTAATTAGAAGAATGTAATAAATGACACATGGTATTTATTAGAAAAATAAATATATGAACCTTTTCTGTCTGCCATTGAATCGAAGAAACACCACGGAGCTTCCGAACCTGATCCACACTTTACAAATGATACATAGTGAGATGTTTCTATGCAGACTACTGCAGAAAGCTCCAGGTAAAGTCTTGGCACTGGACAATGTTCTTGCAAGATGGCGAACTCCATGGGAACGATAAGTTTCTTTGGTTCATGATTTGTTCTTCGCTCATGACGATGTACCTACGTTTATATGATTTTTCGTTGTAATTATGATGTTTTTCTGTGAAGATTATAACTTACCTTTTCTAAACATTGCAAGCAGAATGCTATGCTCTCGAGACCTACTCCACATTGCCCATAACATTCCTTGCATTCGAAATCGGCTAGCTTTCCGCATACGGTGCACTGTCTCGGAGCTAGAGCGAATAAAAGACATTATTATTCGTTGGAAACGAACTTTTCAAAGTGTCTTATTAATTGTCCGAATAAAACGGTACTTAACAGTCTTCGATGATGTCAGTAACGTCGAGTAATAATGTAGGCTGTATTTTTGGATACATTTTGAAGGACTTTCCAAAACGCGGCATTTGAATTATCAGACAAGAAGGAACTTCTTTTAACCGAATATTACTCGTGAGAAAACTCTGTTCCAGTAACTGCTGTACGGTTGGTAGATTGAGATGATCATCCTTCTCCACAAAGAGCTGATAGTGATAAGCATCTTGACCTGAGCTTAATTTTAGGAAAGGTTCAGCGTTCAGGATTTGCGCAACTAGTGAGGTTAAGAATTCTTCGGGATCTAAAAGAGTTAGATATGAGGCATATTAAGTCAGTGAAAAATGAAATGAGTAACTTGCCTTTTTCTTCGCTAGTTAATCCTGAGATAGATGATAATTTCTCAAGCAACGTTCTTAACTTCATAACACGATCTGCTCTGACAAACATATTTCTTCGAAGAGGATTTACAATTTCCTCACGTAACACTCTTTGAACCTCTTCGTATTGTGGACAATCTTTCTCATTAGGAGGTCTGGAATACGAAATCAATTAAATATTTAAAAGAACATGAATTTAATGAATGCTTTACCTGAATAAGAGGTTATCGAAGACACTGGTAAATGCAAACATGCTGAAGAGTGTGGCATCTAAATAACAGGAGTTATGATGACCCTGTATTCCTCGATACTTCCCACAGATGCTCTCCAGATCTCCTTTGACGCAAATTGGCCTGATCATACCCATCACAACAGAACTCTCCATGTTACCAAAATTATTGACATTAATCATGGCCCGTTCATTGACCTTTTCATAAGAAAATATTACAACATTGCTCTTTAAACATGAGAAGTTTCAAGAATAAGTAAAATACTCACTGGCATCTTATCACCTTGACGACATTCGTTCATGTCCGTGAATATTGCTCTTCGCGGCAAGCAATGGAAATACCTGATATCATTATAAGTTCCATCTGTTCCCAGGGGATGACCTTCATCCTAAAAGGAGCGTCCATTCGTCAAGATAAGAGTGCAGGACCATGGTAAGAAAAATACTCGTCATTGAATTATTTTAGCACTCACTAATTCAACAGCTGCCATCAGTTTACCAGGTATAGTTCCGGGCGGTATACCGATCCAACGTATCACACCCTGTCGTGTATCTGTGTCTACGAGTATCTTCACTGTAGAGCCGACCCTGAGATCTCCCGTATTTTCAGGTCGCACGGTTATACCGTCATCATTTTTTGATACACCGTCTGTTGGATTCAAAGAGAACTTTATAAAGACTCTCAGGTCGATGTAGGATATAATTTTATGTATTTCGAGGAAACAATGAATACAATGGAAGAGTAAAAGTTTAATAACACAGCATCTTTAAGTACCACATAAAATGTTGCGAACACGTGAATTGAATAAAACGAATTTTGTGAACATTCATGATCATTTTGCTTACTGTGATTTGGGCTTAGGGAATCGTGGTTCACATCCAAATTGCTGTACGTGTTCAAATCTATATCGCTGCTCCATTTGTGCTCTAACACAAAAATCGGAATGTCTTCTAAAGCTGCAGCCATTTATATTAAGGAATTACTTTTTAAATCAGAAGCCCTTTGCAGCTTTCCAACGTCTCCGAGATAGGCTATGTTACTGGCTATTTATAAAGGCCATAGTTATTATTAACTCTGCTACACGGGAAGTGAATGTTGTTGAAGACAAGCGATATTCACGAAAACCCCAGCGATACAGATGCATTGCGGAAAGCTTTAAAGCGCTGTGTATAGGCTGATTATGGTTTATATTTGTTTACCAGTGTCGAAGAGTTTATAGCTGTCCGCGTTGCGATTTAAGCTTGAAGCATCTCCAATTATATTCAATGATTTTGCTGATTGGTAGGATGATTTAGACACTGCTGGCTCTTTTAATACTGGTAGAGTATTAGGGTTATTGTTTGTTTTATCATCAAATAAAGATAATCTATCAATATATGCTACACTTGAATCCTGTGGAGTCCGATCAGTATTATAGGAAATATCCTCGTTTGAAAAATCAATAATTTGCTTGTGGGACACAACTTCATTGCTTCTGAAAGCTGTAAAATATTGAAGTCACAGTTATCAATTGGTGTAAGTTTTGAATTATATTATTTCTATACTTTGATTGTTATTTTAATCACCTTCTCCAGATTCTGCTCCCTCAGCTTTGAAGGGTTCCACATTGCTCAAGGTTGCAAAGACTCCACTTGACCGTATATATGAAAAATATTGTTGAGCAAATTTTGAGGTTTTTGATACTTCTCTACTATCCTGCAATAATAGCATGGATGTAGTGATGCAAAACATTGATTTGTGTTATAAGCTGATGTAACATTGGACTTAAATTTACCAATACATCCAGACCAAAATATATTCCTTGACCAAGCTCTGCTACTGGACCAATGTATTTAACAATGGAAAGAAATTTTGCAGATGCTCCAGGATCTGGTCTGTACCAGACTTTATCATTTAAACAAATATCTTTAATCTCCTCACAGAACTGTTTGTTACTTGCCAAACGTACTCTTTCTTGTGGTAATGGTACAGCTAATAAATACTCCCATATAATTGGTGATACTGGAATAAGATCATATCTATGGCAGAGCCATTCTGTCCTTCTCCAAATATCCGAGCCATTAGGATCATCAACTCGTATCCTCAAACCCCCATCTCTTTGTATCTCGACAGCCTCAACAAGCATTCCCAAACGTAGAGTACTGATATTAGCATTGCAACTGCCTGAAATTCTATTAAGCACTGTGTTCTGTTTAGCAATATAATGCTGCAAGATTTGACGAGACTCGCCGTTCTCTGAAACACGTTTATCCATATTCTCTTATTTTACGTGGAAGGATTTTCTTTTTGATCGAACCTTTTAAGATTTACATATAATACTGAAGATCTGCGTGTTACAATCTCAGTTGCTCTACATTCTTGAGAAATTTAACAAAACGTGGTTCACCTTGTCATTGTCGACGACGCAGATGACAGAACCCACGTTGTTAATTTGCAATCTACAACTTTGTAATAATATTTCTAGTTGTTTCTTACTTCATCAATAACGGAATAATACTTTTTTATAGGTTTAATTACCGTTATTTAGTGCACATTTGTATGTTGTTTAAAACTCACAGATGTTTCATTCAAGCATCTCACAAGTATATGACTTTCTGCCGGTATCAAAAACGTTAAGAATGTAGTCTAGTGTCTTCTTCAGGGTCTTTTGCAGTGCTCCAAAACATCGTTGGCCACCATGATTGCCAGTGATAAAGTAGTGACGGCAGTAGAATGTAATTTGCATGGAAGTCCGGTAAGGTTATCTCACACATGATAAAAATAAATTGAGCAAAAAAAATTGATATAATCTAATTTTTAAATACCTTTTTTTTTAAACAGAAAGGAGCATAAATACTGATGCATGCGATGTGTGTGCTCATGATTAAAAAATTGTTTGATCAAAGAATATGGCGTTTTTTCCCGCGTTTATTCACTTATACTTTCCGACACTGTATGTCAGAATTTAGGTACGAAATAGGAATAGGATGACGTGTGTTAATACGTATATGGAAGAGATTCGCATTGTAGTGTGGGTAGGGTTAAGCTCTGTACGGCGGGTTGCCTGTACTTGGCGCGAGACTCGACCGAGTCGCTTGATGGTAAAGATTGATAGTTTGAAAATCCGCTCGCAATGCCATGGCGGCGCAAAACGAGTCCTAAACATGAAGACTAGAGTAAAGGTGGGCGAACGCTTATGTGGGGAGTACTAAAAACATGGACGGTGAAAGTGTAGCCAGAGATGGGTTCCGAATTTGACCATAAACATCGCTGTGAACGCTTTCGTCGGGCTTGAAGTACGTAGTAGACGATAGCATGAAGTGAATTGTAAATAGTAAATTTATTAGCTAATTATTATTATTGCGAGTAATAATATTTCTTGTGCCTATATCGTCAGTAGGGTTAATTAATGAATAAATAAGTTTAATTATAACTTTTATTCGCATCGATCGTCTAACATTCACATTACTCAAAGAACTGATTTCTCAATCTCATTTTTTGTTAAGTGGATAGTAGGTTTTTAATAAAAACAGAGGTTTTATTTTATTGATAAATAGACGTTTCAACAATTATTCTCCACCTTCACTTCATAATTCTCCATTCTCTCTCTCTCTCCTCCTCTCTCTTCTCTCCTTCTCCTTCTCTCCTTCACCATAACTCCACCTTCACAACTCCTTCGATCCGCGCAATCTCTCTATCATCGTACAACACTTTTCCTTTTCCGAGTCTAAATCTGAACTTGACGACTTACAGGGTTCAGTATTTCTTTTGCTAGTACTTGTTCTTTTCCTAGTCCTTTTCCTTTTCCTAGTTTAAATCTGAACTTGATGATTTACAGAGCTCATTATTTATAAGTGTACTTATTACAGATTATTATTATTATTATAGATATTCCAGATACAGATATATGTAAATGTATTAGATTATATATTATATTTATCACTGATACTTATGAAAAGCCTTCATCGTTTCCAAATCAGCCTGAACTTATAATGTTATGTATTGTGACGTGTACCGTTCATCGGCGTCGCCTACAAATAATCCGTGGCTGCTCTCAACGTGCTGTAATCGAAGAAAAGATCCGAAGATCTAGTTGTTGGGCGCCAGGTGCGGCTTTCCCGCACCATCATCCCTCACCACGGCCATTGTCAGGTTTCCCGGCATCTCAGCCTCAGCGCACGGAAAATGGTAGAGGGGAACATGGAGGCGACGAGAGAGAATTTCGGAGTCAACGGATAGGCGCGCAAAATGATAAGACAGCGAGTAGGATACCGTTCCGTTTATTACCATCAAATAAACGGCGGATTTTACAATACAAATCCCGTCGCGTACAGTGTGTTCTCCAACGGCGGCTCACGACTATTCCGAGTCGTGATTTCTAGCCTGCCCCAGACCTGTCCCTATCTCCGTGTCCCTACCGAATCCGCGAATCCCCTCGCGGCGCGATTCGCGATCCTAACAGGTCTCGTTGGAGACGAGCCTTTCCTTCCTCGGGAGTGTGCCTTCTGACGTCGGTAGCCACCTGAGGCGTCGGTGTGTCCGCACCACTCCCGCTCGGCTATCTTCTCGCGCAAGATATTCTCTAAATAAGACCGCCCTCGCGGTACTTACCGAGAACTGGCTGTTCCATCAGTCCCGTACCAAATCCAAATCGTGGTGGCCGTGTCCCTTCCGC